CCTGAGGAATTAGGAGTGCAGTGAAACCCAGGAGTGCAGCTGGCCCAGAGGAGAGTGTGAACTGCAGGTTCATGACAAGCTGAGCCCTCCTCACCACGCACTGCGACTGAAAGGGCTGAACACGCACATATGGCTTTGGGCTGGGCTGGCTGGTCATGGGCCAACCTGTAAGATATGGTGTGATTTATCTGAGGATATCGAGGCTCTCCCAAGGCCCAGACCTATGCTAAACCCACCAGGTTCTATCCTGAAATCAGGAAAAGCCACACCAGAGGAGGGGAAAAGCAAGCAGGGCTGCTAGTGACTCTTGCTACAAGAAAGCTTTACAGACTCAGATGTGCTGAGTCTATTCAATGTTTATTTCATGAAGCATTTTATTGCACAGACCATGAAATATATCTGACTTTGACTGCACAGGCAAAGTAACAAGGTTTACTCCAGCAGCCCGGCTACACCTTTCATGTGAGAGCACAGGGCAGGAGGTGCTGGGGTGACCCCAGGCATCGCCTGACAGTGCACTTTGCAACACTGTAGATGGAACATAAGGAATTTTGGTTAGATATTGAGAGAAAACTTGAGTGTATCCAAACGGCTGCGAAACACGCTGCTTTTGGCGCCGCCCAACCTGGATGGAAGGTGCCCACCCAGGTGGGTTTGGGAGCTGTGGAACACTTATCACAGCGGTGAGAAACCTCATGAGCTTTGTCCTGCCCCCAGCCCTGCTGATGGAGACCCAGCGGCTGCCGAGGGCTGGTGCTTCCTCAGCCATGCCAGGGCTGTGCCTGACGCAGGGCCCAGGGGGAAGGAAACCGTTCGGCCACCAGCAGGGTGTTATTCACGTGCTTCCACCTGCAGGATCAAGAACATGTTATGGGAAGGAATGGAGAGGAACAACCTCGGCAGGTGCTGTGCAGGATGGTGGCACTTGGGAGAGGGCTGGCTGGAGGCAACAAATGAGTTATGGATGGAGCCGCCGCCGGAGGAGCCGCTCCACGGGCCAGCCGAGGAGCAGGTAGGGCCCAGGTGGGCGCCGAGCGTGGTGGGCTGGGCTCGGCTCCCTGGGCAGTTCTCGGGGAAAGGCTGCCTTAGGGACGCCAGGCCGGGCGGCAGCCGGGCCAGCACAGAACTCCCAACCTGGGTAAACCGCGAGCGCTCCCAGCACAGCGCGACACAAGCAGGAAAGCTCTGCCCGCCCGGTGTCAGAGCGCGACACAAGGAGGAAAGCTCTGCCCGCCCGGTGTCAGAGCGCGACACAAGGCAGGAAAGCTCTGCCCGCCCGGTGTCAGAGCGCCACCGTCCCAGCGAGGGCAGCGCCGGCCCCGCCCGCAGCCCGAGCCCCCGCCCCGCCGGCCGGGCGGGAGCGGCCCCGGTGCGGAAATGGCGGCGGCACGAGGTGAGGCGGCGGGAGCTGCTGGCGGGGAGGGGAATCCGGCCCTGCTCCAATGCAGCGGCTTCTCTGCCTGCCCGCGGAGCATACAGGTGCCCAAGGGCGGCCGGCGGAGCTCGGGCACGGCCTCCTGCCCGCTCTCGCTCGTACCGGGGAGCGGGGACTGCCCCTGGGGCCGGCGCGGCCCCATCTCCGTGCGGCCCGAGCGGGTCCCTGTGCGGGGGCGCCGCCGCGGCCTGGCCTGCCCGCTCTCGGCCTCCTGCCCGCGGCTGTCCCCGTAACCCGTGTGTCGCCTCACAGGACCGGCCGCCGTGATGTGCATCCCGCCTGGAAGCCCCCGCGGCCCCCGCCGGGCCGGGCCAGTGAAGGGACGCCGCCCCCTGCATCGCTGTGCCCGGGCCGCAGGTAAGTGCTGCCCGCCCGGACATGTCCAGGGCAGCATCGGCCGTCCGGCTTGGGTTTGGTTTTGTGAAGTAGCCCGAGACCCCGTTTTGGGTGCTCCTGCCTTTCTGGCTCTGTTTAAGCCGCAGGTTTCCCTCTGCAGAAATCTCCTTTTATTCAGCACCAGCTGTGGTATGAGCACCCTTTTGGCAGAGCGTGCAGCCCCTTACAGCCATTTGACGGAGCAGTTCGGGTCTCAGTATTGCTAATAGAGCAAGTAAAGCTTAAAAGTAAGCTGGGCCTGGACAGCTGAGTCCCAGTGTATACTGGCAACTGAGCACACCAGCATAAACTCAGTGGAGAGAGAATTCAACAAAAGGGCAGCGTTGTGTGCTGGGCTGGCCCAGGACTGTGCAGGGGAGTCCAGGTGCTGAGCTGAGCAGGAAGCGAGGCCTCACCTTTGCATGGTGCCCGGCACATTTCCTGTGCATTGCTAATGAGTAATGTCAGTTCCTGTCGGGAAACAGAGGTGGGCAGTTAAAAAGATTCATCAGAGTTTGAGGACAGGAAAAGGGAATTGCCCTCCTAGCTGAATGGTTAGGCTCTGCAGTCTTCTTTAGGAGAGTGCACTCAACTCCTGAGACTTTCACAGAGTTTTTTTATAGGGATTCATCTGGAGGACTAAGAAAGTGGAGCCAGTGGCACTATATTGACTTCACTGATACTATCCTCCTAAATTAAATGGTGGAAGAACAAGGCCTGCCTGTGAGATAAAGTCAGGACCTACTTCATCTACCTACAAAGTTTTAATGGCAGCGAGAGGGAGCAAGTTAAAAGTCATGTGTTTCTGTAGAAAATGATGAGGGTCTTTGGTTTGAATCACACACACTAAACCATATTTCAGGACTGTTGTGTTTTCTCTTGTATTTTTGCTTTGGAAGTTATCTCGTGTGTTTTTGCTCATAGGCCCATGGGTCCCCAGCTCCAGCACTGGGTGAGGATGGACACTGGACGTGCCTAAGGATTATGGTAACCAGTTTGAAAACTGTGTCTTCAGCCATAGGTGGTTGGTGTAAACTCTGAGAACCTGTGCGGCCTTGTGAAAGGGCTTCACGTGATGCCCTCCAGTGGCAACAACATGCACAGGTATTTGAAATCACTGGGAATAGAAGGGAGTTGGGAAAAGTGGTTCTTTTGACCCACTCTGAAGGGGTTTGGCAACCCTGGTGGAGTTCCCAGTTAGCTGCTGGGTGAGGCATGGTTGGGGTTATTCTGGCCTTTAGCAGTTTCTGATGTTACAAGCTCTGCAGGGATGCATGGATCACTTCTGCACATCAGGGCAGCTTGTGGGGTTCAGGTGGCCAATACCAGAGCTTTAGGCATGAGCTCATGTCCGTCTCAGAGGATGAATTTTGCTCTTTGCCAGTAAATGCACATAGTAGCAAGGAAAAGGAAGAAAAATACCAGCAGGTACCATGAAAAATGCATCTTGCAGCACATAATGCCAGAGACAGGGACAACTCATTTTTAACTGACTGTTACCCTTGTATATGATCTTGTTCAGCCAGAGTTCTGTAGACAGGCCAGAGATAACTGATTTTGCCTCATCTGAGATACCTTTCAATGTGGAAAAGTAGTTTTCGGACTGACAGCTCAACGCAGCTCTCAAAGTTGAATGATATACCCAGCATGCCAGACATACTTGGTGTTAGCCTGTTCCAGGGCACCGTGCTGGACCTGTTAATGCCCTTTGGCTTCAGTAGGAGACTCACCTTTCACTGTCAAATACAGCTTCCAGTTCTGTGCAGGGTTTGGCCCTCACTCACAGGCTTAGAAGTGTCCTGCTCTTCTGGTGGGCTTACACAGAGAGATGGGGTTGATGTGAATTTCCAGCTTGGGTGTTGTACTGGTCTGATCAACTGTAGCGGAAGAGGATTTATGTAGAAGTTGTTCACAGCAACAGCTGGTTTGAAAAAATTCAAGTTGTCCAAGTTTCCTTTGCTGTATAAATATTTAAGTGACAGGGTGGGAATTGCTAAGGAAGGAGAAGCTTTTATTTAACAGAAATATGCAAACTCATTTCCCTTACTATCTTTAACCTAGTAGCCAATTATTGCTTATTTGTTCTTTTTTCAGATAGTTCTGTTGCTGCCTTAGCTGTCCTGTTCCACTCCTGGGAGTGACCACTGGAGACATTCTGCTGAGCAGGCTGGTCAGCCATCAGGCCTGCATTCTCCAACAGATTCATTGAGCTGGGAACATAACAGTGCTGTTTGGTACTTGCAGAGTCCCACTGCAGGGGTGAACTTGCACAGTCCTGTGAGAGAGTTGGGAAATCCTGGGGGTTCCCAGTTCATTTCATCAGTTAAAAAGTGTGTTGGATTGGGTTTTAGGTGAAAGACTAATTCTGGTGCCAGGATACAGCTATGGTTTAAACACTTAAGGTGAAAGCTGGTTGTGGGGAGCAGAATGGTGGGTTTACTGGCAGCCTTTGGGTCTTAAACCTCTATTGGGAGGTTCAGACATCCTCACACTCGGATAGCTGCATTTTACACTGTTCCAGGTATCTGCTTGATATCACTGGAGCTGCTTTCTCTGGTGTGGCCATACCAGGATCACCGGGGTGCATGGCCATCTCCTGCCCTCTGCACTGGCAGTGGTTGCTGGCTGAGTCACATGTTTCTGGCGAACACAAGTTTCTTTGCTCACTGCCAGACATAGCAACTGAAAGTCTCTGGCCTGCTTACAGGGGGTCTCACAGGGTGACCAAACAACCCTTTCTACCCTGGAAATGGTTGAATTCTGGGTAGGCTAAAACAACCCTGAACTTGCATAGCTCAGTGTTGCTAAACCCATCTTTTGAGGCTTGCAAAATAAATAGGTATCCAAGAGCAGATGGTCCTAACCACTGCTGTAGTGAGGTATTCTAGTCCTGTTTTTATGGCTTCTGAAGGCCTGAAGCTATTTGGGAAAGAACAGACAAGCTTTTGATACACAGTTCTATGTCAGATCTCTTAGTTTTGCCAGCAGCGTTTATTTGTAGAAACCCTGTATATTGTAGAGGCCCCTACCTCTTCCTGGCTATCCCCTAGAACAGAAACTTGAATCAGTGAATTTTGTAATGAATGTGCAATAAATCTGTGGAAAAACTTCTCTGCTAATGACTCTTGATTGAGCTCAGGTAGTTTTGACATACACAGATGAGGCTGTTCAGAGCTGACCAAGCCTGTGCCTGTCTTGATTGTCTGGTGTCTGGAAATGAAGCCTAAACAAGGACATCTCACCTGAGTGCTGGGCCAGAGTCTTTCCAACCCCGTGGATACCCAAAATTTCAAGGGCATAGTATTGGGGTGAGAATTCTTCAGTGCTGAGGGGGAAGAGGAACAGATCTGTGAGCATAGGGGGAGGATACACCCAAGTGGAGGTGAGCGTAGCTAAAAAGAAACAGCTAAAAATGATGCTTTTGGTTTCTCTTTAAGGGTAATGGAGCACTGCAAAGAGCCTGTTTTTTCCCTGGATGACTGAATGAGGAACATGGGCATTCTGTAAAAGTGTCTTATATTTGAGACTGTAGTGCATGCTTGGGTGTTTCAGAAAGCCTCACTGGGCATGTAGGTGCTAACAGTTCATACACAGGGGAGGCGTATTTGATTATCTCATGTCACAGACTTCATGTAGCAACAAGAAAACTTGATTGTGAGATCAGCTTCATGGTTGGAGTGTTTTCAGCAGCTGTACACTGTTCATGCCTCTTGCTATTTTTGTTTTCTTTGAATGTTTGGCTCTTCAGCAGCCTCAGGAGTAGAATTAATGATTGCTCTGGAACTGGGGAGTTCCCTGGACATCAGATGGGTATTGGGGTCACCCAAGTGATCACCCAAGGGATCCAGCTGCCACTGCTGCATAGTGACAAGTGTCACCTTGGAGAAGGATGGTATTTATTTCCAAGTGAAGAGTTCTGGGATGCTGATGGATCTTGTGACCATAGTGGCTTTCTGCTAAGATCCTTCCTAAGAGGATGTAACTCGTAAGGGTTCAGGCCTGGCAGCTGATCTGGGTCAGGGTTGCTTTGCTCTTTTTCTTGGGAAACAGCTGGTTTATAGGAAGTGTGATAGAGCAGTTGATGCTGAAAGAGGGCATTGCTTAGGGCAGATTACTTGTAGGTGTGGTAGCTGCAGAACACAGTTTATGGGAGGGCAGTCCATGAAGGTATTGTAATTCCAGTATGTATCCGTAAGATACCAGGTGTTTCCAAAGCAAAACAGGGGTGGACATAATGCTGGAAGCGTGAGTTGAATGTGTAAAGGTGCTGGGCAATATCTGCATTGAAAAATGACAGTCTGCACTTCTCGTAGTCCAGCAGGATGCCAATCCTTCTAGGGGGAATAGTAATTCTGATGTCTGGTGTCATCCCGCTGTGCAGGAACTCGTACTTGTGCCTGTAGGCAGGAAACACAAAAGACCTGAGGGCACCCTGGCTGCTCTCAAAGGGAAGGACACACAGGTGTGTTCCAGGGTATGTTCCCACTTCCAAGACCTGTCCCTCCTGCATGCCCTGTGGTTACTGCCCAGTCCCATCCACGCTGCTGAGCAGCACCAAGGAGTGGTGTCCCTGTGCTTCCACACAGACGGATCCCACAGCTCTTGGACCTGCCTGTCTTAAGCTTGTTTCAGATCCCAGTCTGGCTGTGAATAGACAAGGTCAGAGCACAAGATGGAACTTTCTGGGCTTTTTCCATGCCTCAGAGAACAGCGTGGGTGTCCCATAAATCAGAGGGTGCACTCTTGCCCTTAGGTTTAGCTTGAATTTGTCTCTCTCTCCATGAAGGAGCTGCACTCTTTTAGGCCAGTTGGGTTTGCCCCAGAAAGACCCTTATCATCTAAGCCCTGCCCCTGGGAAGCTGTGGGCCCTGCCATGGAGGGAGTGGTGAGGTGACTCAGTCCTGTCCTTCCAGGTGCTTCCATGCTGCCCACTTGCTCCCTGAGGGCCTATGGTGCTGAGCCCTCTTTCCTGCCGGTGTTACAGAACTGCTCACGCCCGGCTTCACAGCAGCAGCAAGGGACTGTAATCCCTGGGGCAGAGGCTGCCTGACACACAGCATGGCCAACCATCCTCCAGGCTGTTGGACATCGTTTGTCAATCCCCACTCTCTAAATTATGTTTCTGGCTGCTTTTCCTACAGGCCATCCCTGCTCATCCAGTGTTCAAGGGGGAAATTTCAGTCTTTATGCTCATTTACTACAGAGTGATTGTGATTTCTGTACTGTGGATTATTGGAGGCCAGGAAGGTGCTCTGCACATAAACAGCTTTGTCATGAGGGTAGCCCTCCCCATGTAGTCACTGAGTGTTGCTGAGGTCCCCTAACAATTACTCAAATAGCTCTAGTGTGGCATGCTGCAAACAAAAATATGATATGTATGAGACGTGCCTTTCTGAGCAGAAATTAGAAGATTTATTCAGCTGAATGAGTTATCTGGCATTTTCTAAGGGCTCCCTCGTTCACTAACCACCTCTTCCACCCACCTTGCAAACCTGAGACAATTTCCCTGCAGAAGTGGGTACAAACTGAGCAATGGCCCAGCTTCCTTTTCTCTCTGGAGTCCATGCTTACTGCTCCAGAAGAATGACAACAAATCTCAACTACCTCTTCGCTCAAAGTAGCAAGGAAATCCAATTAGCCTGCCTGCAGTGTATCATTAGCTGTGGTGGGTTTGACTTTCCTCATTAAAAGCAGCATTTCCTGCTGTGTGGAAGGCAGATGCTGGCACTGCTGAGGATTCTGGCTGTGCAACTGCTGCCCTGCTGGGCAGCCCAGAGCAGCAGGTGCTGGGGAGGAGCGAGTGCTCCAGCCAACTGAGTGCATCTAAAACCTCTCTGTACCAGCAGGCAGAGGACAGGCAGATTTGGGCTCCTGCTATTCCATCCTTGCCATTTGCTGAGCACAGGGTGCTGTCCCATCTCCCTGTTCAGGGGGACCCAGCAGCATCCTGGCTGGCTGGCTGAGCACTGAGCCATCCAGGCAGGCAGCAGGCAATGCTCGGGCATGCCAGGGGATGGGACTGTTTTCTTGCTCCTGGATGCTACACAGGGTGCCCAGATCACTCATGAGAGTCATGATGCTAATGTAATAGTGTCCAGCAGTGCAGCTGAGGCATGAGGGGAGCTGGCATTTCTGCAGGCATGTATGACCTACTTACATAGATAAAATAGAGATCAAAAACAACTGGGTTTAGCCAAATACGTAGTTTCTGGGTTACGTAGGTTACCTCTGTCTTCCCACTGGGGTTTTGGTAACCTTTACTGCTAAATTCTGTAACTCAGATTTTATTCAGATTTGTTCCTGAGACTGCCTGTTTCAATGTGAGAATGTCATTAAGCAGCAGGATTTGCCCAAATGTTCCAGAATCCTTCCAAGACCAGTTCACAGTGCCACTGGTCAAATGTCAAGAGTCCCCTGGTTAAGTGTTTGGTCTGGGCTGATATGAAATCTCTGCTTCTCTGCATGCAGGTGTACACATAGGAGGTGTTCCTGTAGGAGACTTGCAGCCTCCACAGCCTTACCTTGATGGTGTGATGATATGCCTTATGCACCAGGATGAGTTGTTTGCCCCCAGGTGACCATGTCTCGGAGTGTTCTCAAAAGCCACGCCAGTTCTGTACTCTGTGTCTTCCTCAACTTCCACCTCCCAGTAATGCTTTCCTGGAAATGGGATCAGACTGCCCAGGATTGCAATACACCTGTGGGAGACAGACAGGAATATGTGCTTTGGCAGGGCCTCTCTAATGTTCTTTATAGTGTTTAGGTATGTATATACCTGGACATTACAGATCAATAAACAAGAGCCACTTTTGCTGTCTCCTTAGCAGTGCAGTGTGGGTTTTTGACTGCAACAAATTCCCCATGCTGAGGAACTGACACACAACCTGCAAGTTTCTTTGTCACACTTGTCTTATTTTTATCCATGGGTAAAAAGTGCCCTGGGCACTTTCAGGAATATGGAGAACAGCATCCTGTACTGACTGGGTTTTCTGGGAAAGCTATTACTTGCTAGAAAAGAGAGTGTTCTGGTGAACCCCAGTACAGCAGGGGAAAAAGTCTACATATCTTGTATTTTCTTCCCAAACAGCCCGGGGCTTTAAATGTCACTCACTGTTTAGGAACTGAGCACTGTAACAGCATGAAATTCCTGGGGCAGCTGGGGAGGAGGAGACCTGCCTACACTGTATTTGGAGAGATCAGGAACAATTGAATGAGGTAGGAGAACTTGAAATGTGCTGGGTACCTGGGCCATGAAGAGTTTTTAACAGTGGACTGTGGCTCCTAGCATGTATGATAGGAACCATGTAGAAGATAACTCTTTTAAAAGATGTGTAGGAAAGAAAAAGACAATGTACCACAGAGAGAGACCCTTCAGATTGATTTTACTGGTACAGTCTTGGAGTCAAAGGAAATGGGTGCTTGGAGGATGCAAGTCTGCAAAAGCACAGGTAAAATAACCCATGGTAAATGCTTCTGAAAAACCCTAACTTGACTTAAGAGGACTATGAATCCTATAAGACTGCACCTCAGCCATTTTCTCTGGAAAAGTACATGGTGTGTTAGCTGTCATTGTCACAGGGGACAGCAGGTTTGGAGCACACACAACTGGTATGTTACTGTTGTAGGGTCTAAAGTTGTACATTACAAAGGCAAAGGATGTTGTTGGCAGACACTGAGCTCTTCTGCCTCTAGGTAATGCTGAAAAAGAGCTGCATTCAGCATTTAGAGGGCCTGGTGTGTAGGGAAGGGCACACACAGCAAGAACGCATTGCTCTGCCACTGCAGCAGCAGTTGCTTAAAGCAAGTGCACAGTTCACTGCAAGTGCACATAGATGTCTTGGGAATAGCTTAAAGGCTGCTGAAATCAGGACTCATAGAGATTGTGCTGCTACAGCTTGAGAAGGAAAAGGAATGATGCAAAATGGATGGGTAAAAATCTGTGAACAAAAATGACCATAGTAATGAGAGCTGTATCTTGGCATGAAAGAGACTTCTGAAAGTTCACAGTGGTACCAAAACCTCAACCTTAGAATGAGATGAGTGCCAGCTCTGGCTGTTTCTGTGAAACATAAAAGCACTCTGTGGAAGTGGGATGAAATCCCATTTAAGCTTATCATGATGACTTTAATGAAGAGAATCATCGTTCTCCCTACTCTTTTCTGGTGAGCCCTCTAGTAACATCGAATTTCCATGGAGAAACTAAGTTGTGGACCTCTATTATCCTGTGTCTGCAGATTCCTGTCCTAGTTATGTGCTGTTTCTGTGGTTTTGACTGGAAGCATGAATTTTGGCAAGGTTAGTCTCTCACTTCAATGGTGAAGGGCCTAATTCTTTTTTGAAAGTAAAATCTGTCAGTCCAAATAGTATCAGTTATGTCTTTCAGCAAGAGTTAAGTTTTCACATCCTTCTCCTTTCCTTAGCAGTTTTTGGGGGCCACTTAAAAAATTTAGCTCGATGTGCCAAACATGTAAGCGGGTTTGTATGCAATTGTGGCTGTTGCATCCGTAATCCTCTTTAAGAATTTGCATTAACTTTCAAGTGGTGCTTAAGTTCCAAAGAGCAGCTAGAGAGAGAGATTTCAACTCACAAAATTAATGAGAGCTGCTGAAAGCCCCATTATACATTTCCTGGCATCTGTTAAAAAACCCAAACTGAAGTGCTTCAGTATACCTTGTAAAGCTGTTATCATAGACAGGCAGATCACACTCTGGGTTTTCCAGTTCATCGCACGAAATTGTAAATCCATCATCTAGGATTGCCAGTAAAGGATGGGCTGTGTCCTCATTAAGGTAGAAGCAGGTGCCTGCAAGAGAAAATGCCCAAGGATAACTCCAGAAACTTCTTATAGCATTAGGATTTGCAGCAAGGTTGTGGTGAAATGTTTTTTGGATCCACAAAAAGATTTACCAGTGCTCTGGAAGGAATCTCTGGCTGACACTGAGAGGACACGATTGTCTATTTGAAGTTTTTCTAAGAATTGGTGTTTTACTTCTTAACAATGTTTAGTTTCAGTCTTGTGAAAAGCAGGGAACTTAACCTGGTTTTGTACCCTACCAGGTCTCAAATCTGCAGGCATTGCACAGGAAGTGGCTATTCAAAGATGAGGGGTCCTCCCTGCAATGGACTGTCTGGTTTCAAGTGATTTTCCTCAGAGCTGAAGTGATCTGGTTTTAATCACTGAAAGGAGAAAGGGGGCTTAAAGGCTTCACTCTTCCACATAAATGTGGGGCAAACTTTGAAGAGAAGGAATCCCTTGTCAGATCCGCCCTCAGGGAGGTAAGTCCAGCCCATGGATAAAAGTGTTTCTGCCTTTCCCCCTGCGGAGACTTCCCAAAGCCAACCTGACACTGCGCTTGGATGAGCAGCCACGTGTGTCACAGCTGCTGTTTGTAGTTGGTGCTTGTGTATCCACCCCAGAAAGGGCCAAAGGTCATTCACAGTGTTGGAGGTGGGTTCTTGCAGTTGACAGATCAATTTGCATCAGCTGTTTGCATAATGTAGACTCAGAGAAGATAAGTCTCTCCATGCTAATCCCAAATGAAATCATTATAATCAAACTGCAAGTTACTTCAATGCAAATACAATACAAACAATGACAGGGCAATTACAGGCATGTGCTGCTGAAAACAAACACATGCTGTGCAAACAGAATGGGCAATTTCAAATACTGAGTTTGGTTTAAGCAGTTGGAATACACACAAATGATGGCAACACAATGACAGCCTTCCTCTCTAGGGATTTGCGGGTGAGCATTTCTTTTCTGTGGTGTCACTGATGTGTAGCAGACAGGGTTTTTACTGAAACATAACCTTTCAGTTAATGGCTGTGTGGTCATCTACCTGAATAAATACAATTTGCATATCTCTCACAGCAGGTAAGGGCAAGGTGTGAATACATCTTGTGAGTGATGTGAGAGGTTTGAGACAAACCAGTGAAATTGCAGTGTCATTTCAGCAGTGATGAAGGTGAAAACAGGTGTGTGCCTCTAAGTCATCAAAATGAGCTTTAATTAGATGTTTGGGAGGGGAAAGGGCTTCCAACTTCCCTTTGGGGTAGGTTAATCCTTGCCGAATGTGGTACTGGGAGCAGATGATAATGCAATGTCGGGTGCCAAAAGCAAAGCTTCCAGCTGAAAGCTGGACTGCTTTTTTCCTGATAAATAAAAAGAACCAGCCCTTGGAGCTTCCCAGCCAAGCTGGAGACATTCTAATGAATGCAGAGAAAGATTTTGCATATCCAAATGACTCTGGAAAGTGCTGTCTCAGCCATACTTTCCAACAGTAGCATCATTACAAGGAAATCTCTGAAGTAAAATCACACTACCACTTTCCTCATTGGTGTGTCAGTACTTGGCAAGCTGGCAATATCTGGGGGCATTGGGTTGATACTGTCTTTTAAAATGTTTAGAAATTAGTAACTTTCAAGTATCAAATGTACTGGACAGAAATAATTTTTAAATTACAGAGCTGAAGCAATGCACTTATTGTTAAAAAAAGGTGGTTTTTTCATTCCTCAAAGGTTACCAGGTGTGTCTAATTAGATGTAAGAGATTAGAACCTGATCCAGAGGCCATTGACACCAGCAGGAATCTTTCTGTTAAGATAATAGATGCAGGAATAGGCTGCTGGAATTGTTCTGAGCTGTACATTACCTGTGGTGTGTATCAGGACAGGTTCACTTCTTTCACTGGAGCCACCCAGGTTTTGGGCTCTAACACAGATGTGATACTTTTGTGTTGGTTGGAGGTGAATTAGGACTTCACAGTTAGGAATCCCAACAATAGATCTACAGAAAACAAATTTATGGAAAATGATAGGGTAGAAAACAAAGGTAGGCCTTTGAGATTATTTTTCTGAACAACAAAGAAGAAATTATATGGATCAGCTTCTTTTGTAACCCATCAACACTCTACTTGTACAGTTGCAGGGGCAAGAGAGAGTCTGTGACAGACTGTGCAGGTACTTCTGCTCCATTCCCATACCAGTGCCCATTCCTGTATAGTAATTTTACTAAGAGGAATGTTTATAAAGGTAAATTCACCAAAGGGTCATGGGACTCCAAAAAAACCAGTCACTCACTCAGTAATAATATCATCGTTTTCTTCATCTGTCAGCTTGTACAATTCAACTGTGTAGGAATCGACAGGGTTAATGTCTCCAGATTCCCAGCACACCAGTGCTGCATTTTCACAGCTTCGGATCTTTTTACTCTTTATGATAGGTGGTGAAGGAGCTAAAAGGTAGCAAAAGAACAATTCTAAGTTGTTGCCTAAAGATGTTTGCAACAAACATGCTTTGAAGACTTAAAAAGATAGAACAAAGTTGTTTACTAATACTATATAGTTAAAGGAACCTGCTTCCCAATGGACAATAAACAGCAGGCAGGGCAATTAACAATAGCATTTAAATACTTAATTTGGACTATAAAGATGGCAAGAGCATTACACAGAGAAGTAACATAGAGAATAATTACACAACAGTTTCCTTTTATCATTAGTTTTATCTGTGTCATAAAGGTGGCATCTCTTCTCTGCTCTAAGAGTCAAACACATCTGGAACCAGTACTTGAAGGTCTTACTCTGTCTTGCTCGATTTGATGTCAGGATTTCACACAATGTATTTGACTGAACTGCTGTTACAAAGGACAGCATAGCAATGTGAATCCACAAAATACATATAGGCCAATAAGAGAGCTGACATCCATCTGGCAGAACTGGGATACTTGAGTCTTATTGGCAGGTGGTCTACATCCTTGCATTTAAATAAGTTATGTTGTCTCTCTGCTTCTCTTTCTTCCACTCTAAAACAGGGACAACTGGCCTGATAGCCTGTCCAAATAAAAGTAGGGAAGTCCCATGCAGTCAGTAGGTTTACATCAGAAGAAACAAAGTACCCAAAAAGCATTACTGGCATAAAATTAGAGATGACTGTGAATTTCACTACAAAGGTCCTGTGGTCGTATGAATAAAAGTCTTTACCTGTTACATAAACTGCTCTTTCACTTGGTGGACTGATACCAGAGGCATTTAAAGCACTGACCCAAAATTCATACTGTGTGTTCGGCAACAGATTAGTAATGGTGCAGTATGTTTCTTTGACTTTTAGGGTATGCTCTGAAATGAGAACAACAAAGCATTTACAGTGCTCTTTTACACAGTTACCCACTCTTCCCCAAAACTGCCTCAAATAGTGGACTTGAGGCACGTTGTTTTGTGTGCTGAGTTCAAGAGAGCTCCTTGTTCTCCACACCCTTTGATTTGCTGTCAGGCAGTTTCACCATGCCTTCCTCTAAAGAGGCATAAATCAGGTAACACATCAGCTTCTGAAGGAACTACATCACTCAGAAACCAAAATCCAGACAGAAAGATCACCCACCTGTCACTATTTTTTTTTTCCTAAAACGATCTACAGGTTCCTACTGCAGGGATGCTGCTCAGCTCATCTCAGCAGAGGGACAAAAGCTGAAGCTGTTTTACTACCCATTTCTCATTCCACATCTTAGAAAATTTGCATAGGTTATGCTTTTCTTTCTGAACTAACCAGTGGTACTCCACTGGCTTCCACTTTTGCAGGCTCTGCAAGAATATTATTAGCAAAGGCAGCTTTATCACAAGAGTGAGACATTTTAGGATGTGGTTCTCTTTTTTTAGTGCATGTGCATCATAGGGAGTTACAGCCTATTATTAGCGCTGAGATAAACTGTAAAATCACTGAGGGGATTTCAATGGGTGTGCTGATAATATGATGATTTGGTCTCTAAAAATACTGTGCTTTGCACAGGATGCAGCACATGTGTGCCTAATGCAGTTCCCACCCTCCAGGAAAGGAAATGCTACTCCTGAGACCTGACTCCATCCATTGTCTCCTTCCCATTCCTGCTATCCCTGCTGTTCCCCTATCCTGTCTTTGCTCATGTGATGGCTCCTGCTGCAGCCAGCAGCATGGCAGACCTGGCAGGGGAAGAGGGACAAAGCCAGAAGGAAATGGCAGATATGACAGTTTTGGTGACAGAGTGCACAGGAAGTGCACTGGTTGCCACATTAAGTCCAGAAGTATTTTGGAACTGGCTGATTTTGCCCCCTTGGGTCCAGGGCTCCTTACCTGCCTGCTCATCACTGTGCCTCTCGTTGCTCACTGGTTTATAGCACAGTTGGTAGCTCTCCACAGTGTCATCTGAGAAGAGGCCCCAGCAAACTCTCAGTGAGGTGCCAGTTGCTGCATTTGGAGCCTGGGGATTGATCACAGGGGCACAAGGAGCTGCAGAGGGGAAAACAGGTCAGTTTTTGAATGTATAAGCATGGTATGTTGTCCCTCTCCTCTCACAAAGGTGTTTGCACAAAGCCTTGGCACTGAATGGGGTCATATTCCTCCCACATGGAGAAAAGTCAAGAGCTGACTCTGTAAACAGTTGCAGTTAATAATCAGGTCACTGGTGTGTGAGAACTAGTCTTGCTCCAAATCAAAACGAAACCAACAAAATAAATAAGCCTCAGCCCACCCCTTCTCTGTAAACTTGACCTCCCCTGCTCTGGGGGCTGGGGTTCACCAGTGAGCAGCATCTGCCAAGCCTGCACTGCTGCGACCACCCCGGGGCTCGGAGCTGCTGGAGGGGAAGGGGGAAGAGCTGTACAACAGGGGGTCAGCAGCACAAGCAGGCAAGTAACAAATTCTATTTTACTTTAAGGAAAACACAGTACTTGTGCATGAAAACTGCTCTTTCTGACCATTTGTGATGCCATTTTAATTTTTTTTTTTTCAGTTATTAGAACTTTGTGTTTTGCTCTGTTTCCTCTGGTTAATAGGAAAAAAATTTGCTAAATAGCAGAGGAACAAGCCACTGAAATCTGGTTATCAAGAGAAGCTGTGCAGGTAATTTAAAGCAGTCTGGTGTTCCTCTCTATTTCGTTCAAGCAACTACCAGGTAAGACACGTTATCACCAACTGAGAATGCCTGACCCCTCTATAGAAGGGGGTAATCTTTGTGAGTCTTCTAGGAAATCATCCAGCAAAAGCAGGGAAGGCCAAACTTAGCAGTTCCAGTAATTTTATACTGAAAACAAATGAAAAAAATAATATCCAAAAATATCTGCCAGTGTTTCTGTATATAGATGCAAGCAAAAAAACCCCTAGAATAAAAACTAGGGAGAAGCTAATCCTGCCTTTGCTGTTCTCCTTTAAAAGAAGTAATGGATTTCTGTTCAATACATACCCTTAATTAAATGTAAATAGGTCTGAAATAATAATCAGGAAGAGTACCTGGAATAGCATTAATGGAGTTCATGAGTTGTTCAACTTCAGAGAAATCTATGACCCTCTCTTCAAAGTCTGGCAGTGTTGAAAGCTCTAAATTCACTTCTTGCTTTAAGAATTCTTGCAGCCTGTAGTTGTAGGGAAAAAAATTACATTTCTAATTGGAAGTACCATAGTGTTGGAGATACCTATTTGTAAAAGAAAAAGAATAGCACACTGCAAATTGACATGTATTTCATTAAAATTTTGTTTTCATAGTTGTACAAAGCTCAGGACCCCATGCCCGTTGCTTGGAGATACGTTGGATCAGTGCCCCAAGATGCCAAACAGAGCTGGATGCTGATGGGACTGAGGGACCTCCTTTGTGTGTCCCCTCATGAGGAGGCAGCTGGATGCTGCACACTGCACTGTCTCTGAGCAGGGGCGTGAGATTTCCCCAACCTCTCTGTGTAAGGCAACCTATCACCTCCATAATTTTCATTATTTTGAATTTACAACACTATTTCATGACCTTGTGGCTCTAGGTGTCATAAATTTCAAAAAAAGGGGTATCTTTTCTCTGTGTTTTCGTTAACAATTACAGTCAGTTAGAAGAGGTGGTTTTTTTGCAATTGGTTTAGTGTGCCTTAAGACTTCTTTCAACTGCTCCAAGATCTTTCAGTATCTGTTTTGAGTTCCCACAGCTTGACTTTCTACCCTGCTATATTGATGCATAAATAAGCCTGTTATAATCTATTTATGGAGCTCAGTTTTAGGCCCATTTGCATCCAGAGCATTTCTTTTGAGATCTTTAGCAATCCTGTTGCTCAGTCAGTGAAATTAGTTCCTTATGACTAAGATGAAAACAGTGATTTAACAGAGGGTCTAACTCTCCTTTTGGTTTTCCTGAAATTGGATCTAAACTAGTTTTGACTGTTAAATTTCTTAGAGCAGCTTTTCCTTATGCAGTTTAAAACAAAAACACTAAGTATTTCAATAGCTCTAGTGGCCTAGACAACATTTGTGTGCTTGAACAAAGTCCAGAACATGCAAGCGTCTCCAATAACCAGTCCATTTAACAGGAAAAAATGTGACACAAAATCCCAGATTGTGATACTACCTGTCAACCATGGTTACTGCTGCCTGTAGAAGAAGAGAGAGAGAGTGTTAAAGATAGAAAAGTCCAGAGTCAGACTACATCATGCTGTTGACCTGTCTTACATAAATTGCCCCAAGTGCAGCCTTTGGAGTGACATAATTGGCTACCACCCAGATCTGAGAAGGAATTGCTGCCTAACTGTCCATTCAAAGGGACAGATCTTGGCTCAATTTACAGTAGAATAAAGTGCAATATCAGGCAGTGACCAACTAGGTTCTAGGCTGATTCCTTCCTAAGTTGTCCAAAGTGCCAAGAGATTCTTCACAAACAAAACCCAGGAACAACTGGGGAAAAGAACTGAGTGAAATGATCTGCACCAGAGGGAATATGAACAGTGCACGTAACTACAAGGCAGATGTACAGTCCCTGGAGAAACCTAAACAGCTGAGAGTTCATGACCAACAAGTATTCACTTCTTGGTGAATAGTGGTTCTTAGGGGTGATGTAGAACTGTTTACAAGCTAAGGAGAAAATAAAATTATTCCAGGGATGCAAAGGAATGGGAAATGTCAGCTCATGCGAAGAACTCAGCAGGCTGGAGCACCACAGCAAACTGATCCACTGGAGCAGACTGGAGGTGTTTAGGAGGTTTGTTTGTTGTCTAGTTCAGAAGTTACTGTGGCTGTGCTACAGAAATGCTCCCACCCACCTGAGTCACAGAACAGCTCAGGTTAGAGCAATCACTCATCAGCAGTGAAAATTCTCCTTTTTTCCCAATTATTTTTCTACCTGCCAAAGCAGAATAACTTCTTGACACCACCTCAAGAGAGGGATGCATCCATCACTTTGCAGCAGCTCCTGATGTATTTAGTTTGGAGCCTCCTGTTCAGCAGAAGTTTCCAACAAAATGAGCAAGAAAAAGAAACTCTCCAAAGTGATTGCGTCAGCCTGCCTGCCGTGAGCCCAGAATAGAGCAAGAGAGCTGAGCCTGCAAGTGGCAATGAACACTAAGTGCTTCCAGAGTTTCCTGAGATAAGCATTTTAGGGAGATATCTTCCCTCTGAACCCCAGCGTGACTCACAATCCAAATTACAAACTTCTGCTTCTGCATTTTGCTCCACTTGTGTTGCCCTACTAAGTTGATGCCCCCATGCCAAGCACCTGGAGCACTGACAGCAGCGTGGACTGAGCACCCCAGATGCTCTCCAGAGTAAAGCTGCTTGGGACTTCCTGGCTGGGGACTACTTGCAAGCAGCAAGAAGCACTTAGAAGGGGCCTTAACAGTGAAAGCTCTTTACCTTCATAAATTCAGCTTTGTCATTTTCCAGGAAAAGTTCATGGGTTTTGTCTGTCAGTTCCTTGCAGGTGTCGAGATGTTTCCCAGAACTGACCAGCTGCTCATACAGAGCTTCCAGCTTCTGCCTCTTCTCTTCCCCCAGTGCTTCCAGCTGTTCTTCGTACTTCTGAGCAAGCACTTGTACTGCATCATTGTAATGCACCTCAAAGTTCTGCTCCTGCCTCCCAAAGTTTTCCTGCAAGGCATTTGCTGGTTTGTACCTGGGCATCGAGCCTGATCCTTCGGTCATCCAGAAAAAACTCCAATCTGCTTAAAATTCTCCTTACCAGGGAGGCAATGTCGTGATTTAATTCACAAAGCCAGGACACAGTGCCAGTACTCGGAAGATGCGATTTGACTAATTTGCATTTTTAGGGGTCTATTTTGATCATTCACCCGGACTAAGGCACAAAAGAATGTTGGATTTCGTTCCAGACATAAGAGCAACAGAAGTCATAAAAAAAAGTAAGATGCAAGGCAACCTAAGCCCAGGGAGCACAACTAGGTTATATCCTAGCCATAATCTCACGAGCATTTCAACCAACAAGCACATCCTTCCATGAGAGAAACCATGGCAACCCAGTGGGATCCATGGGGGAGCTGAGAAGCTAATGCCAGTATCCTTGCTCACTGCTGTAGAAAGCATTAGGAAGGAAGATTTAAGGAGCAGGCAAGGCTTTATTGCCAGCAGTCACCCACTGCTCAGGCTGCAATGTCCTCCTGTGCCATATGGAGCAGAGAAAAGACCATGGGTGCCTTGAGTCATTGCTTCGGTTTGATGCTGCCAGCTGACCCCCTTCCCCTGGGGCCAAGCTGACAGCCTTGAAGTCATCAGCTTGATGCAGCTGGTCCAGGAGTTTGCCTCTATCTGACACTTGTGTGAATGGAACTGAGGGAACATAAGGGGTGCACTCAGGATGAACTAGTTAGATCACAGGTCTTTGGCCATTTGAAACTAAGATAACCTGGGATGGGAAGGGGCACTTTATTTCAGAATGCAAATTTCTGTGCAAATGCTAAATATGGTTTTATTAGTCCACATAAAGAATTCATTAGGATTAGTTTTCCTGAGTACTTCAATCTAGGCAAACCCCAAGATAACTCTGTGCTCTGTTACTATAATTACTCACTTCATTAACAACTGAACACTAAGAGTGTCAGTATGACTGTCAAAATTGTTTAACACCAGTACCATAAAGTTAGCCCAAGAAAAAATGCCTTACCTCTACAGTGAGGAAGATTTCCTCCAAATGACTGGCAACATTTTCCATCTGAGCAATCTGTTCTTCTAACTTGCAAATGTTTTTATGAATCTCTTCCTACAAAACACACAGTGTGATTCTTATTATGTCTGAACACTGTTTTAGAGGCACCCCAGTACACCTGTATTACTCTCACCTTTTCACTTTCCAAGGCACTGGGCAGTTGAGTCACCTCATGATCCTTGTGCTCACCGAATAGTTTGTCAAAAGCTCGGATTGGTATCTTGCAGGTAGAACAAAAAACATTTGCCACTTCCTCCTCTTCCTCCTCCTCCTGCTCCTCACTGACAGCCTGACTGTTCCACTCATCTGACATGCCGCCACTGCTAAGCCCCTCTCTGGACCATATGTTGCTCTCAGCCTCATCATCTGCTCTGGCTTTGCTCTGATCTTCATGTTGAGAAGCCTCGCCAGAAAGTCCTTGTTGCTTTGTGCTTTGACTTTGATCTTTCACTGAAGTGCTGCTTTTTGATGCGTTATATATGGAGCCTTGTGATCCTGCTTTTTGTGTGCGAGCAGGTGGCCATCTGCTCTCCATCTCCACACGTCCTCCAAGAAGCTCAAGCTCTTTTTCTCTATCCTCATCAAGTCCATACATCTTAGCCAACTCTGCAACCTCCTTTTCCATGTCATAGCCAATTTCTTGTGAGCGTGGAACTTTTTCACTACTCGATACAGATTCCCTTCTCGTATCCGCCAGAGATCTGTCTCCTCGACCAGGCAGCTCTTCAGGAAAGATATCAAACCTCTCCTTTGATCCATAAAGATCCATGTGATAAAATATCAAACCTTCAGTCTCAGTCTCACTAGACTCTGGGACTGGTGGGGAAGCTGAATGGCCACGTGACTGGCCACTACTTTCATGCTCTCTCGTGCTGCCAGACCTGGATGACATTGGTATCCTCAGCAAGGCTTTCAGGATGTCGAGTCTCAATCTTGTAAAAGATAAGAAAGATCTTTAGCTACATACTTAGATATCAAGCACGAGTTTTTCTTGCTTAAAAATATATAGATGGAATAGATTTGGCTGAGGACTGCCTATGTCCTGGAGTTAGGCATGGGAAAGACCACAGCCAGTAGCTTCACTTCCTGAGTGAAGCTTCTGAAGGGAAGCCATGGGAGGCTTGTTTTTTTCTCACCTCTGTGCAAAGCAGAGCAAAGAGCTGTCTCTGGTGTGAATCCTGTTTTCTGAGTGGCTCATCTGTGAGCCTGATGCCTGATTTCCAAACTATGGACTATCCCTGTCCTCAGCTCAACACTTCAGCTGTGCTTCAGGCACAATTATTGCTGTTCTGTGCAATTGGAAATGGCCTGGTTTGAAGTCTGCTCACCCTTCAGCTGCTGTCAAGAGTGTTTTCTGAACTGTCAGTCAGGCATAATGTAGAATGTCCTCTCTTGTGACCAATGATGCCACGTAACACACTAGAAAATGCCTTAAAAAATCCTGTTCTGGATTTTTCAAGTTGCCATTCTCAATACTGAAACTTGAGTCCAGGTCTTGAGTCCTTTCTTTAAAATACTGCAGGGAAAGCATAGTGCCCTTTGGGGGTGTTCACAGTTCTCAGGTGCTGTGGAAAATATATATTTGTTGGGGTAGCTTTGCAATATATAAAAGGATGTAGAAGCTTTTAATGTTGTTTAAAGTGAACATGCTTCCAAAATGGCTCTCTAACTCTTTGTGTAAACCTTTCTTCTTCCCAAGATCCCTTTAGTCCTCACTGTACCTTTGGAATGTCCTGAGAGATACCTGAAAGTCTCCCTATTGCTTGTTAACCCTTTCTTGTAATTGGTTGGTTTGTAAGACCTCCTGGACTCCTAATGGTTACATTGTAATCCCCCTACAAGGTAAAAGAAGCTCAGAAAAAAGATCAGTGATGATCTCCATTATAAAGCACACAATAACTAGGGAGCAAGGCAGGTCATTGACCTGTGAACTGAGAGATGTCTGCTCTGACATGGACCTTGCCCATTTTGTCCATTCTGTGCAATGAGGTAGCATGTGAGGGTGACATAATATGGTAGCTGTATGATAAAGCATATCCCAGATGCACGTGGGACAACACTAAGGTGCAAAGGCAATTTTAATGCTGACTCCCCAAGCCCACTCTTTCCAACCAGCCTGTATTAACAACAGCAATGAAATAATGCCAGTACAGAGTCAGCTCTGTCAGAGCTGAAACCTTCCCACAGCTTTCCACTGCTCACCAGCATGAATGAAATCATGACTACAAACCTACTCAGATCAGTTTTATCAGCAGTTTACTACCACAAGCAGAAGAGTTCATGGAAAGATTTCAGCTGAATATTAATGAACCTGTAGTTACATCTAATCCTAGGTAAGTGAAGCATATGAAAGCTTTAAAACCACTTTCTTGCAGGAAAAAAAAAAAAAGCCAAAATATCAATCAGACATCAGTGTTATCAGAGTTTCTGGGTAAGTTTTCATACAAGTTTGCTTTCAAATTACTATTTATGGTCTTTTTAGTTTTGAGTAGTTGCTATTACCTCAAATTTATTTCATCAATATTTTACTAATTTTCCTGAGGATTACTTAGCTAACAAAGTTAGCCCAGTCAGTGACTTATTAGAAAACAACTTCTTGAACTAGTGAAAAACACTGAGAAACTTTGCACTCTCTGGATTTATATCCCTGACTGATTCCAGCCTTACAGATCTGTAAGAAAACCCACACAAAAGTTCACCGTTTGTATTCTGGCACTGCAGACAGAGGTGTGGATTCTACAGCTATAGCAATATCCTACTATAGACAAAACCACAGAAGTTAGGCAGAAATACCATTTATGCTAAAGGCAATAAAATAAATCATGCAAATTCTAACATGCTAACAGAGAAAAGGTCTTGACACATACCAGAAAATGTTGTCTGGCTCCTGCAAAGACTTTTTCCCCCATAATTATAACAGTAAGACTTGCTTTAGGAGCTACTACTAATTAGAAAAGTGAATTAACATGTATTTTTCCTACCAAAATGAAATAAAATAAAATAAATTAAAATGAGCATAATTAAGTTTGTCTGGAAGCCTGCTGCCTAAATAAGATTTTCAGATGATTGCTCAGTGTTTGCTCAGTTTACAGGCACAGATACAATTACACGAAGCATGTTTAAGTCCGTGACCGTCAATTATCGTAAATACATAACAAAGAATGTTACTACCTAAAAACTTGCCTTCTATCTTAAGACGTCATAAATTCTTCTGATAGCTCAGATGGCATCAAAGTTCACTTCTATTTCCCCTAGTAAAAATCAATTCACACGAAAGCAATTCCTTGCCACTTTCCTATGACTGCAGTTGGAAGATGCATGGCAGTAACCCTAGCCTGCCTCTTTGCTCCGATAGGGACATGCCAGCAATGAGCAATGGCACAAATATAGATGTGCCCCAGCTGTCCTTCAGCAGCATGCTACTTGAGTGTCACCAGGATGAATGTCATACCCCGAGAAAAGGCTCTGAAGGTTGATTCCTGGATCTGAAGTACTTAGAATGGTTATAGAGAGCCCTCACTAAAGCCAGAGCAGCCTCTCACTTTCGAAGGTGGTATTAATAAACCCTGCAGTGTGCAGTCATTGCCTCTGGGTGTGACTTCCAAGGCTGGGGTGTTAGGCAGACTATCATGTGTGGGATACACAAAACCTGCATCCAGCACGTGGCTGGACACATGCTTACAGCATTGCTGCACAACTACATGGAAGTATCTGTTCTGTTCTCTGCAAACACTTACTGGCAAAGCCCTCTCTACTAAACTGGCAGAAGCTTTACTATGGGGTGGAGTTGGAATCATGATCATATAGTAGAAAAAAATATTAAAGTTCAGAATTTAGGAAAAAAAATAGAAATCATACTGTTGCATATGCTTATTATACATATGCATACATCCCCACCCTGTATGTGTATGCCAGACCTCTGGTAAGCTAATTATAGTGAAGAAAGTGGCCAGTGGGTTTTCATGGGAACATGTCCCTTCAATCTACACTGAGTAGAGGTCCACATGATAAAAAACGCAGGCTGTGTATTACCACTGATTATTGATTGCTGTAGCACTTGAGCTTTGTGTATCTGCTCAAACCCACACACAGTCTGCTGCTTGTGAACACGCTACTGAGCCAGCCTTGCTGGCAGGAGGTTCTTAAGCACGTTCGAGAACGTTGCATTATATATGTCTTGGGCTCAGGAGACAGCACAAGGGGAAATGTCTATTGAATCTTGTCACAGCTCTGCTTTTTTCTCCTTTTCCAATTAAACTTGGTGTCATTTTCTTGCGTTCCTAGCAGTGCCATTGTTTGCTGTTTGATAAGGAATCACAAGTTAATTGCCCATGTAGGCATGATCTCATTACCACTAACAGCGCCTCTATCATCTGCGAGATCAGAGCAGAGATGTTTTCACATAAATGATGCAGCCTGTGCCGAAATGTTAACATTTATGCTGTCTGACATTTTATTAATTTTTCAAATGAGAACTTATTTTTTGCTTTGTATTACACTGCGCTATCTTGCAGGCCCTAATTTATTGAGAAATTAGCAGTGTCGGCTTCGCTGTCAAAGACTGGAACATAACATTCTGTGCACCATGAATTGCATTCAGGCTTGCACACAGGGCCTGAATAAGGGAGAGGCGACATATAAACACTCTGCTCTCCTCAGCAGCCCCTGAGACAGCATTTTGGGGGGTATTTATACACAGTGTGACAACCTCAGGACTGAGCTGGATGTTGGGGCAAATGGGCACAGGGCGTTGTGGGGAAGGAGCATGGGATTTCACCTGCCTTCGGACATGGCAAGGACTCATGGAGTTTCTCAGTGACCACAGGAATCTTGGGAAGGAGGAGAACCTCCCGCAGCCTGGACTCTCCCTCAGGCAGCAGCACGAACCAGGGGATGCTGCTCCTTCCCAAGGGACTGTGTGTCCCCTGCTCCCTCCCCACCACTCCTCACAGAAATAGCTGCTTATTTCACAAAAATTTTCCATTCTAGTGCCTGAAGGGAGAACTTACAGGAACAATAGGGCAAGACTATTTACTAGACCATGTAGTGACAGGACAAGGATCACAAAATCAATCAGGTTGGAAAAGACCTCCGAGTTTATCGAGTCCAACCTATGACCTTGTCAACTGGACCATGGCACCAAGTGCCACATCCAGTCTCCTCTTAAATACCTCCAGGGATGGTGACTCTACCGCCTCCCTGGGCAGCTCATTCCAATGTTCAAGTACTCTCTCTGTAAAGAACTTCTTCCTAATGTCTCACCTAAACCTCCCCTGGCACTGCTTAAGACTGTGCCCTCTTGTCCTGACAGAATCACAGAAGACAAGGGGGAATGGCTTCAAACTGAAACAGAGTAGGCTTAGATCAGACACTAGGAAGAGTTTCTTGGCTGAGGGTGGGGGCTGTGAGGCACTGGCACAGGTTGCCCAGTGAAGTATTGAATGCCCCATCCCTGGAGGTGTTCAAGGCCAGGTTGGATGGGGCTCTGAGCCACCTGATGTAGCTGAAGGTTGCCCACGGCACGGGGATTGGAACGAGGCGATCTTCAAGCCCCCTTTCCAACCGAAACCACCCCACGACTCTACGAAGAACCGACCTTTCCCGGAGCCGCCCCTGCCGCTCCTTTTCCCATCAATTTTCCACGCCTGCTGAGGGGGCCGCCCCGGCCCCGCCCCTCGGGCGTCGAGGCCCCGCCCCGGACCCGCCCGCCAATGGGCGCGCGAGCAGCCGCTGACGCCACGCGCGGCCCCGCCCCGCCCGCCGCCGGTTTCTGTTTCGCTCCGGGCCCGCGCGGGCGCTGTCGCCGCTGTCGCGATGGAGCCGCAGCCCGACAGCCTCGAGGGGTGGGTGGCCGTGCGCGACACCGCCTTCGCCGAGCCCCAGCCGCCGCCGCGCCTCCGCTTCCTCGTGGGCTGGAACGGCGCGGAGGGCGCGTTCGCCGTGACCTGCCACGGGCGGGCGGAGGCGGCGGCGCAGGCCCCGCAGAGCTGGGCCGGGCTGTTCTCGGCCCCGGCGCTGCGCGGCGTCCACCGGCAGCTGTCGGCCCTGTGCCCGCGCCTCGAGCCCGCCTTCCCCGCGCTGCCCCCCGCGCTGCCCGGCGCGGCCGCGGGCGGGCTCTGGGCCGTGCTGTTCCCCGGCGGCGCCGCGCCGGGCGAGGCCGAGCTGCAGGAGCTGTGCCGGGCGCTGGAGCTGTACCTGGGCTGGGCCCTGGAGCTCTGCGGCGGCCGCGTGGTGCTGGACGCGCTGTTCGCCGCCGACCGCCGCTGCGACGACGAGTACTTCGAGAGCCTGCAGGAGCTGCGCGGGAAGGCCCTGCGCGGCCACCTGGCCCGGGCCAAGGAGGCCCTGCGGCGGGTACGGGCCCCGGGGCCGGGCGGGGGCGGAGGGGTCGGGGCTCGGGGCTGTCCCCCGGGGGTGCCGGGTGAGGATGCTGCCGGGCCCCCCTGAAGGTCCCCATGCTGTAGGAGCCCGTTCGCTGTTTGGTGCTGCAGCTCACCCTCGCTCGCCTGGGAGGTGCACGGTGAGCGTGGCAGCCGCTGCTGCGGCAGCTTCAGTCGCTCGGGGCAGACACTTTTGCAAGACTCATGTGAGCAAGGGCGACCGAGCCGCTGAGATCATCTTGCTCGTAGTGTTGTCCAATGTCCATATTTGTGCTTACACAAACACTTTTTTTTATTTGTCTGGGAGCCACCAAGTCAACTTTCTCAAGTACAAAGTGTCGTCAGTTTTGTAAGTGCGACTTTATTAAGTGGGGAATAAGTTAGCTCCAGGTGGGCAGTCAGTATAAGAACACTGAGGCATTTACTTAAGCTGTAAGCACTCCTACAAAAACACATTGCTAAAAACACCCAGCAGTGTTGTGCAATGGGTGGAACAGTAACCTAAGAGGAGAGTACAATCATGTGCTAGTTTTCTAAGTCAGGTTTATT